TATCATATGCCGTCCAGGCCAGCCGAACTGTCCATTCCTTCAGCCCCGATCAATTGGTACCAAAGTTGTGTAGGAAGAGAAACCCTGGCTTGTATATTGGCTTATCTCCACAGGCCACTGCAGAGCTAAAACGCCTTCAAATGCCACTACGATTTTGAATGGAAGTGGAATTCATGGCGCACGCCAGGAAAGAAAAGTAGCCCAGAGACTCTTGTCCTTCATCTGTCGAATAGGTGATGTACTTACGAGTGTTATCGAAATTTTGGTAAGATCAGCCACTACGGTTGCCTGCCAGGAAATTCGCAGTAGGTGTCGGGAATAAAGACAACCATAAAAAACGTCGAGTTTGTCACTGGGCGACCTGCGGTCTACTGAGTGGCGGAATTCGCCGATATTTTCTTGTCCATTTGCTGACAAACTTTCAGTATTTCTACAGCACTATGTGGCCACGATTAGTGAAGCTGTGGCTCACGGCTAGGAAATACGTGAAAGACTGCCAGAAATGCTTCAAATATAAATTTGCTTAAAGCATTAAGTTTATTTCGAGCTATGCACGAGCTCACGACGATGAAACACTTTGCTTTGAGACGACAGAGCCGACATGGATGGATCGAGAGATATGGAGAAAAACGAAACGCTGACACCAACTACAGTGTCAAGTTTTAGGAGGAGACAGGTTAAGCCCCTGTGGCAGCAAACATCCTTGAATTTCTTATCACAAAGTTCCTAGGCCTTTAGGCATTACTTCTGCGGCACCAAGCCCTACTGTTCTCGTCCTAGAATTTTTATCTGCGCTATCGCAAGATACGGGGTCATGCTCTATGACTCAGCCTAGAATGGCAGAAAGTTCGGGGAAATAGAAATTGCGCGCACTCTAGCGTCTCTCCTCCCTCGACAAAGGCTCAGCCTCCCCATGGTTTTTTTTTCAAAAAAGGGAGATTTTTTACGTAATTCCAAATGCAGCGTCACAACAATGCCCCGTATCTTGTGATAGTGCCTTTTTATCTTTTTGCGGAAGGTGCCTTCAGATCAACAGCTCTCTCTATATGGAGCCCATCGTAAAGAATGGTCAGGCTACGCCAAATCAAACTCCACGACCAGCCTGGTTTCCAGCACGAGACCATTTTTATGCAGGCACAAATGGTTAATTTGAGACAAACCGACTTTGTCATTCATACGGGGACACGAACCATATCGATCTCGCCTTGGTTAATTGATGTTCTACTTCCGTGAATGAACGGTCCACCCTGTCATAGCCGATCGCTCCGTGCATCCATTTGCTTTTTGTTATTCAATTATCAATCAGTTTAGCACATTATCAATCCTTTCTATGATCAATCCTTTCCGTGGTGGTTTCAATGAATAATTGATGAGTCGCTGAGATGATGAAACGATTATCAAAGACAACTGAAAGACATGGAAACGTCTACGTGCCACCTTCCGAAACGGTTTTGGGCAACTACACGGCAAGGTCAACCAGCTATTGCGCTGGGCAATACGTTACTGCGCTCTTTATGGTTGAACCAGGGTCAATTATCAGGCTTTGCAGATTTCGCAATTTTTTACAACCCATCCTTGGTTATGCCGATGGTCGCTTAGCCTAACGCTCCTTAATACACTCTCATCTTCAGANAGATGGTGAGAGATGGCAAGGATTTGTCAAAATTTCCCTGAATTTTGTAAACAAGAATTTCAAAAATCGTCTCATCAAACCTCTCCATTTCTTGTAGATATCTGGTGCCACATTGCCACGCACGACCTCCTCCTTTCTCCAAAAACCACGAAATCTCACACTACATCCTTTTCCTTCCCATGTTTTTCCGCATACGGCACGTCACTGGTCCCTCTCTACCTCTCTCCCCCGATGGTGGTGCCTTGTTACCTTTCTCTAACTCACTTAGCAAAAAAATTCTACGGCCTACTACGATGAATGATCGCTAATTACCAATCTGCCTGACATGGGGAAAAATACAGAATTTTTCAAAAATTCGCGAAAAATTTCCACTTTTTTTTTGTCTTTCCCATATCTTGAGGCCATTGTTCCCAATGCATCCCTCGAATAGCGCCGCCAAACTTAATACTAATATAGTGGAAAACCTTCCCAAAATCAACACGTACTGAATCCAAGAACGCGTACTGACAATAGAGAGCAAGAAGTGTGTCCATGCCTGTAATTGTTTCTTAAAAAAATCGCAAAAATCGATAAATCAATACGTCTGTGTATGTCCAAACAATCGTTCGTATTTCTCTCTCCAATCCGCCGCCCAATAGTTGACTTTTTCTGATATAACGGGCGGATATTTCCAAGTTTGAGGTACCAATAAGATCCGACCCGATTCAATTCGGGGTCAGAGAAATTTTTGAAAACTCTCCCAAATCGAGAGAACAATTACTGGCGTGTCGAATCGGCGTATAAGACCGCTGAGATGGTGCCCCCTTCTAGTCTTGTTGGGTAGTCGGCTCAGCCGTTTAATTCGCGTCTGTAAGTGGTACCCTCCTCCTCTTCGCGCCACATAGCCGATCATCGGCCTACCATGCCAGTTCGCTTACCCAGCTCACTCATCGAGAAAACTCCAGAAAAATCAACATTTCCATCGTGTCGTATCGAACCGGTCCTCATAATGACGTTTATTGTCACAAGCCACAAATCGGTGCGAAAACATAATTTGTGCTATATTGTCAGCATGTTAGAAATATTTTGTGTATTTGTGGCCGATTGCTGGCTAAAGCGGATACCGTATCTAAGAACCATTTAAAATTTTCGAACATTTCCAAAAAATTGTCGATTTCTCTTAGTTCCAAAGTGACCTGCACCTCAGAAACTTATTTTCAATTAAAAGAGAACCAGAAATCAATACATTAACCTTTATTCACTCATAATTCCTACATATCTGTACACTTGAAGAGAAGTTGTGTTGAGCTCTGTGAAAAACAAGCGGGAAGTTTCGAAAAAAATGGAGGCAAAAATGCCACTCAGGGGCACATTCCTGACCTTTAAAAGCGCGCGGTTATATCGTATATATGGCCCAGAAAATAGCCGTAATCGAAAACGACAAGAAAACGCGCGGCGAAGAATAGGAAGGGTGATCTGGTTGACGCTGGCGGCCACTACTTAAAGGGTTACGGTAGCCGTGGTGATCAGCCGGTTTTGTTCTTATCAAAAGCTACAGTACATCTATAAAGAAACCAGAACCACCTCGTCTTCGTCGTAGACCCTTCTTAAACACGACCAGATTCTGAGAAATAAGAGCGCACCAGAGTGGCAGAGAAGTGCCGTCTCGTCATCGGTGGCTAGACACCAGATGACGAGAGCGGAAAAAGCATACGAGACGCAGACATACAAAGAGCGATGAAGCACAAAGACGCAGAAGAGCAGAGCAAAAAACCCGTGGCGCAATGAGCTTAATCGGTGACCTACAGGGCACCGTCAAGAGATAGAGAAAGAGCAATAACAAACTTACAAGATACTTTTACATATAGATATAATGATATATAGTTATGCGAAAATGACACCATCAATGGCAGGAATTCACGGACTACAGTAGTGAGAGTTTGACGTCGTCAGATGACGGTGGTGAGTTGTCCCATGGCACGACACTTCGAGCGAGGAACGCCTTCTTCTTTTTCTCGCTTCTTCTCCTTCATACGTCGATTTTGAAACCAGATTTTTACCTACAAGCGGAAAACATCAATTTCTATCGGGTAGAGGACTTTAGTTGGGTTATGCTCCTTACCTGCGCTTCATTCAGCTTCAGATTCTGTGCTATTTCCGTTCGTCGCGCCCGATTCACGTATTTGGCGGTGTGGAAACTCCTTTTCGAGCTCGGTAAGTTGATGAGTACTGAAGTTGGTCCGATTCGTGCCATTCTCATCGACCACCTTACGTTTTGGAGCTGAAATAAATCAATCGATGGTGGTCTTCAGTCAAGGTCGAAACGGGTTCGTCGGGAAATATGTGTAAAGGGTGCGAATATCGATACGATGACTACCGTATACTAAGCCATAGCCTTAGAAGTTTCAGGGCCATAGCCACGATGGGGGTGGTGGAGGGTGTGGTGGTAGAGTGCGAACGAGCGAGCACAACCCGCTGTTGATTGACACCAGGGGCCCGAAGCGCCACCCGATTATCACATGACATCTCTCGCACAAACTTTGGGACCAGGGCTGATCAATAACGAACTAATGTGAAGAAACCAACCAAAATCTTGCGGTTTTTTGATTTCTCACTGGTAACATACGAATTTCATGAGTATGAAGTGCCCTTTAGGAGGCCACGTAACAGATACAACCCAGAGAGGGGGTTAATATTTTCAATTGAGAAGCAAAGCCGATATGGAAAGTGGAAACAAACATGGTCATGATTCTCACGAAGCACGAAGCTTGCCATGTGGGGGAAGGGGTTGGGAAGATGGATGGTAATAGACGTCGGGCTACTGCGATAAGTATCTAACGTTTCAGTTGGGCAAGCTCCGTGCGTGTTTTGTTCCCCATTTTCATTCCTTTTCAGTTTTCCTTGCTCTGCCTCATGTTTTCTTCCTCTGTGAGTACACGATCAAGCTTTGTTCAAGAATTGTGCCATAGAATCCGAAAATAATATTTTATGGAAAAAGTCGGCCAGTGAAACTTACAAAATAGTTCGGAATGCTTAAAAGTTCAAAAACTTCGTGAATTGCTCGTTTTCGAAAAGAATTCCATCGAAAAAAACGCCACTGTGTTCCCAAAAGTAACGAGAATTTCTTTCAAAGCTAAGAATTCTTGAAATGCTTTTCGAAATTGAATACTCGAACTTAAGCCTCACATAGGAACCTTACAGTACATAAGTAGCTCAATCATTTTAGCACTATATAAACCTGCTTTTTTGTATTTGAGCCTTGTTCTGCCTATATTCGACCAAGACAAGGAAAGCACTCTCATTACAAGGACAAGGGAAAGGAACGTATAATTTTGAAATCCATCCGCTATTGAGACTGAACCTCTAGTCATATTTGAAAAGGACAACTTGGAAGCAACTCGTTCTGAAAAAATGTTGGTTCACTAACTTTCTTCTTGTAAATCTACGGAATGAACTGCTTAGTGTGAATCTTGTGAATCTTGTGAGCTTTATTATAACAAGCAGTTCTCTTTAAGGGGTCTATGGTAAGACCAAATGTTAGCGGAGGACCAACGTTTAAAAAGCATATCATTGTAAGCTGGGTGACCGCACCTAGAATCCCCGTTCCTCATTTGGTGGATCGTTTTTCGTCTATAATTATGGAGAGTTTTGCTGCCGCACACTTTAGGCTAGAATTTTTGGCTCAACCAAATTCAACTTTAGGAGCGCACAGTTGAACCTGCCGCTTTAAACTAATGGTAAGCTCACCACCGCTCCCTCGTATCAGGAGGAAAAACACATCTTATGTATAGCGAAGTCTGAAAAAATCTAAAAAAATGCTATCCGCCATTACTGAGCAGTTTTAGACCTGTTAATTTTACTTGTTGTTTGAAGAGTGCAGTCACGTTGAGAAACTTCGTGAGAAGTTTGATTAATGGGCAAATTTATTTATCGAGTGATATAATTTGAAGCTGCTTACTAGGTTAAATAACTCATTAATTAGTTAATTTTTGGCATTTTCATACGTCCAATGGACACCGGGCCTAGCAGGTAGTTGCGTCTGGTGCTTATGTTTCACTGTTCCGGAGCGAGTGGTATCAATGTTTAACGGTGCTATTTGCAAAATAAGACATATGAGCAAAATATTTGACAACAAGAAAAGTACACGAGGAGGCGAAGAGCTTGTTTGCAAATTTTTTTGAGTATTGCCCTAAAAATCTAGTTACTTTGATATTATAGTTACTTTGATATATAAATGAAGTGATATATCATCTATATGTTTTCTGATTGAATTTTCGGCACATTATCAGATAAGATTTGACTCCTTTCTGAAGGACTTCATGAGGATCAATGAAACGATTGCCGGCGCTCGCGGTTTGGTGGAGGGAGGGGGGGGGTGCCTTTTAAAATATGGCATTTGAAAATCAAGATGGTGAATAATACCAGGGCTAAGCCTCCTCGCTAGGAAGAATGAAAGTTGATCGCAATCTACCCCAGAATCCCTTCCTCTCCTTAGGCTCAGTCCCAAATACTGAATGGTGGTGAGAAGACAACTTTGCTTTTTTATTTTACGTGTTTTATTTTATTTTTAACATTTATTTTATTAAATAGTGAAGAAAATCAGCTGGTTCTTTTTGTACTCAAGTTCAGGAATTCTTGCCTTTAGTAAATTTAGTCGTCTGTTCTTATCGTATATGATCAATCTTTCAAAATAATCAGTTACCAATGACTTTTGCTGGCTTCCTGCTCCCTTGGTTCATATTTCATATTGAATTGACCGAACCATCCATATCAATCGTAATCCACAAGAAAGATTGCCGCTCTTCTCTTGTCGCCCTGTTTTAATGACGGCCAAGCGCAGCCTTTCTCTTAACCAAACCGCGCCAAGACCCTGGGGTACCTCCCTAATCTATACAGGGGTACGGTGAGGGCACGAGGAACACCCTCGGGTTAAATGCGGCACGGACTCTCAGTGAGAATAGTGGAACGTGTCACAACAAAGGGGAATGACCGAAGCGCCTGTAGACTAATATAAGGACAGGAGCGTTATTCGCAGGATACGGGGGCATGCCCGAAGAGCAAAAATTTGATAAGCATAAGAGTGGCAGTAGTTCCAAGAAGAATGAAAATACTCATGCTCGCCCTGGAGCCTCTTCCCTCGCCTAGGGTTTAGCCCCGTTCACAACAGAAAGGTCTATTTGATACGATTCCAAAAGAATTCCTGATTAAGGGCCCCGTTTCCTGCGATACCGCCTAAAGGCGGCTCTAGTCGTAAAAATCTCCACGACTGACTAGAAAAAAAGGGAAAGTTGAAGTGAAAAAGGGACCATCCAGCGGAAAAATTATAAAGTTGTAAAGACACCAGAAAAGTGAAAAATAGCCAAGAAATTTCAATTATAACGTACCAGCCGGTTTGTGTGACCGTTTCGTGTGCATCCATTTGTAGGTGTTCGTCACATTAGCTTGTTGATGTGGAAACGGTACAGACGCTGTGGTCCAGATGTCACTGGTGGACGCTGGAGGAACAGCGCCGTACACATGTGAACCAGTCGATGTGGGCGGATTTATGTTCCTGAACGGGGGTTGATGATTTATGGGTTGTTTTTCAAAGGGCATTAAAGTCATTCCACTGTGTGTGGGGTGGCTGCGTTTGGATACTGTAAAGTCACTAATGGCCATAACCAGCTTCCCTTGAGAAATGTCCCAAAGGAAGCCTAACGATGCATTGCAGGGGCTTACTTGAGATCCTAACAGGCCGAGAAAGCTCTTAGAACAAGTTCAAGAAGAAAAAGTGTTTGGTTAGCCTTTTATGGTACAAGGGCTAAATTTAAGTGCAATAAAACCAAATGGGGTTAAATTTGACCTACCGTGGTGGATCGCATCGTGGATACGGAGCATACGTGGCTTGTGGTGGCCAATCGTAATACGGTGCGTAAGACTCCGCGCAGCTCATCTCCCGTAAATCAGCTGCCGCGGTGGCGGTAATAAATCACACTGCTCAAGCGGCGCGTCCGACAAGACGAGGGCCGACGCCGCTCGGCCACTCCTTCGCGGGGCGTGGCCAACCAATCACCAACGAGCAGATGGGCGTTGCCGACGAATCGCTCTCAAAACGACCACGCCGTGGCTACCGTAATCAGCCGCGTCGATGCTCTGCAATGACTGCGCGATATTTAGCGCTTGACATAGAAGTGATGAATAGGAAGTGCAGAAATTAGCCGTGCAATCATTACGTTTGATGGAAGACATCATTAAACGAGAGGGGCATGATAGGAGGAGCAGACGCCGGCTTCGGATCAGAATCGAATGTGACAGCGGTGAGGAGAGCCAGGACCGCGGATATGCTTTTTTCAGGAATTGGAACAATAAGAGTGGGTAATCCGAGTGTTGAGACAAAATGCAGGAAAAAAACTGCTGGTAACCTTCAAAAGACCCTGACGGAAGAACGAAAACATCAGTGGGTACCTTCAAAAAACCCCATTACCTAGAGGAACATTTCTGGGCTTTCAGCAAGATATCTCCAATACCCATCAAGAACTGGGCGACTGCAACCTCGTCCTTTGTAGCTAGAATTGGAATGACTAACCACACCCTCCTCCTATCGTTGGGGGGGGGGCAGAAGAAAACCTCCAATCACTTCAAAAGAATTTTAGCCCAGACTCCGTTGAGTTCTACAGCAAAAAAGAGAAGAATACGAGAGCAAAAAAGAAACCCAGAAAACTAATTCTAGAATAGAAGAACATCGAGGAAGCTCCCATATCCAGATTGGATCTACTCCAAGCTCCCGAACAACAACGATGACTCCAATCCGATTAGATATGGAACGAAGCGCGCATCGCTGTCGTAACTGGAACTGGCTGTATAACCATTAATGTATGTCGAACGTCTGACTACATCAACCCGCTGCTAGCTACTCAGTCAGATCCGCAACAGGCCTGGGCCCATGGGAAAACGAGGGCATGCGAACTGCGCTAGGGTTCATCTTCAGTGTTGATATGTGTGGAAAGGAAATACTAGAATCTTAAACGGCCCCACGACGAGGTAAGCCCGTTCCACCATGGAACTCAGGGTCGCTAGGGCACTGAAAAGGATTCTTCAGAAGCATCCAATTGGGTTTGATACTTCCTATTACAAAAAAATACATACAACGGGAGTAAAGACATGGATTACAAGTGGCGGATCGAATTATGTTTAATTCAAGATGTTGCTTCTTCAGAAGGCTGACCAAGAGCTGGTTACAGGTTACATGCCAGTCACTCTCTTTGTAATCACCGATGGAGGTTTAGGTCTCTATTGGAATAACGAAGATGGCTTTATTGGTCTCAACTGACGGCTAAGAAAACATACAAAACCATCGTTTTGCTATCAGAGCTCCTTGTAACCGAAGTAGCCCCCATTCTGAGTTACGGTGACTTGTAAGGCTGTGTGTAGAGGCTAGCAATTGGAGAAAGCTACCAAATACAGCATTGAACGAAGGCACACTGCTTCAACCTAAGGCTGGGAGTTGCACTTCAAAAATCTCATTTTGCAGGTCGGCAAGTAGCAAAGGATGAAGTGGCTGTCGTTGGTCGTTTTCCATGACCTACGCCGCGCATAGGAACTGCATTCCTGATCTCTAGAGTCCTGGAATGTTCACCTACACGTAGTTCATAGACTTACCATAGCCACGAAGTTCTTATCTGTTGATCGGGCTGTGATCCGCCGTCCGGCCACAATCAAATTCTCTGCTCGTGCGAGCTGACGCCGCCGAGAAAACAAATGAGCCGGCGATGTGAAGAACGACTATTAATCACTTAGCTACGATTTTCAAGAGATTTATGGCCGGAAAGAGTGAGTTAATGAGCGAGTGGCTTAGTGCAGGCTACCACCTAAAACTATTCAAAAGCCTCGTTTCATTGGATTTAAATTAAACATCTAAAGAGTCAGATCATTACCCCCATAGGTGTCAGCAGTTTCCGGCCGAAAATTCCAAGCAGCGACGCGGTCGGTTCATGTCGGTTTCGCTTCAAGTCCGATGGGACGCACCGATATCGCGAGACCATAAAACCCTCGTCATGTCGCTGCATTATTGATGAAGAAATACCAGCAGATAGCCATCCAGAAGTTTCAGAGTTCAATCGAGGAAATCGATAACACGAATAAGAATAGAAAGAGGTGAACAGAGCATTTTCGTGATAAATCTGTATAACTTACAGTATCCCTAACTAAAGCAAAATGTACTATAACTCAAAGGCAAGCTAAAGTACAAATCTGCGTTCTCCGACATGCGAACATTACAGAATGCACTGAGCATGGTCTAAATTAGCAGTTGACATGTTCATTTGTTTATTTATCAGATTGGTAGACGAGTAGTGGAATGAAAAAATAGAAGGAAAGATAAAAAGATAGATAAAAAGACGAAAAGTAAAGGCATGGATGAAAACAGCACGGTTATCAGAAAAGGATGGAAAAGGCAAAGCATCTAGGCTTAATTGATCATTATGAATCGATATCATTTTTGAGGTGCGATCATTTCTTGGTTGGACTGGTGAAAATCGATCCTGACTTTGATCCTCGGATCATGCAGATGCTAAATGGCACTTCTTTCCATAACACCAGCGCCATCGCTGTTGAGTCTTATCCCCTTGGACTATGTTGTCCCGATAAAAGGGCAGCCAAATAATCAGTGGACCTCGTTTTTAGTGATGACTGCCATGAAGCAGGCTTCACCGGGGCTGCTGCTGCCTTCCCTAGAAAAAACTGAAACAGGAAGTAAGCTCGACCAGCTTTCAACCTAGCCGCCAATGCCGATCTGGACAGGCAACCAGCACTTGAGGGATTATATTTTTCGAAACGTTGCAACCATAAGCTAACATTTTTGGACAAAAGGTCCTCTGGGAAAGCTAAATATAAACCAGCTCGGGAAATGTAGTAGAGTTCTAAATGGAACCGGGTCAGAGCCTTGGCAAATCTGATGTTGAATCGCTTGCAGCCCAGCTTGCTGCTGTTCAGAATTCCTTTTTTGAGAATTTGAACTGACCCAATCTTCTCTATGACTCCGCTCAAATCGTAGACGAAGAAGTCATCATCCCAAAAACTAACGAATTGGTCACTAGTGACAGATTGCAAATCCGTGTAGGTTAATTATTTATTTTATTTATTTGTTTATTTGTTTCATGCTTGTGATGATTACTGCAAAAGCAAGACACGGCTTTGACGGGTTACCCAACAGAGGCTTCTTCCGCAGCTTTTCTTTTGAAGTAACTTTAAGCTCAGCCCCACAGAAAATTCCAGAATAAATCAAATGAGTCAAGGGAGGACAGCTTCGCGAGTCACAGGATCCACTTCGTCGTTTAAAACGTCTTCTGAATCCACCAGGACATAATCTCAAATGCAGAATGTTAGTTCATTAGTGCATTCTATATCTATTGATCCAGACCCCGCAACAATTAGGCAAACGCTTAGAAACCATCCATCACTGCAATGACCTAAAAAACACGAAAAAACGCTAGATTTTCTCCAAGCTACCCACAAGTGAACCGAAATTGACCCGTTTACTGGGCCAGAGTCAATGTCGTACTAATCGCGCATAATCGACACGAGTGTTCATAAACTCTTCGACGAGGACGTACGCGCGTACGACTGTACGGGGCACGACCTCCAGTCGACAAATGTTTGCTTAGGCAAAAACGACGCATCACAGCCGTATTGCAACAGTTGATGGAGACGAAGATGGAGGGGGGAGGGGGGGGGGGGGAGATGCACTCCGGTGAAAAATTGCCGTCGGCGGGCTGGGGGTTAAATGCGGCCGCTAAACGCAGTCTCTTGAAAATCTCGCCCGGGCTTTAAGGACGGGGCTGGAACGCCAATCTCGCAACTTTTCCAGTTAATCCTTTAGAGTAAGGTAGCCTAAAGGTATGTCGGAAGCACACATGGGGGTGAATTATACTTAGATGTGATTTGTTCAGAAAGTCGGTCCGTCTTTCTCCAGCTGATGTTCTATTCACTCTTAAAGATCAGCAAAAGAAAGAAGAACACGTAAACAAGATGAGTTTCGATAATTTTTATTATAGTATTCTTGAATTACAAGGAATGATCTGTTGTAACTGTTGCTCATTTTTTTAATCGTTGGTTTCTCCCCGGTCGCCGTATGCTCAGTTCATAAACAAAATAATGATAATTAAGAAAATTTTAGTCTGCATTACCAAATCACCCATCCAGGTACAGATAAATAAATTGCATAACTTTCCTACAGCGTTCTTTTTTTGCCGATATTGTGGCTAATAAATTTTTGTATCTCTATTTCGGTTTCTATCGAACCTGCTACATCTGCTTTTCTCCGCGTCTGTTTATTACCTCAATAAGCTGTTTTTCTGTACTGCTCTTTCATTTTTCCTAAAACATAAGTCCCATAAGAACGGCGTAGATTTTTCGAGTTAAAAATCGATTAGCCCGAGAAAATTGATACTTAATAGCCGCTTCCGAAGCCACCCATGACGAAAATGGATAGGGTGGTGGATACAATAGCATTTTTCAGCGATACACATTTTCATGGGCTTGTATCTCAGAATTGACAAAAAATTGCGCCAACTGCTGCTTGTTAACCGATCATTTAATCTATATTAGTCTATTGTTTGTTTTATGGAATTTCTCTTATTTAAATATAAATTAAAGAATAATGTTCGCGATGTAATGACGCGGACTTCAGTATATTCATACCGTTAAGGAACGAGTAAACCGTAAAGCAAGGGAGAACTAAAATGAGAAAGAAACTATATTTCAGCTGAACCAAAAAGGCGTTGCAGCACCAGCGACGGCTCGTCCAACTTCGGTCTTTAATTATTGACTTGTTTCTTTCTAATTTTTGTTTTTAGTTTCATCTACTGATGCCGGTTGTTTACGCATATTTATTATTTTATTACGATAACAAAACAAAAACAAACAGAATTACGTTAGTATGCCCTTCAGTTCCGA